GCATGAACATCTGCCATTTTCTGTCTCTGCTGCTCTGCTGAAGACCCAAGTTGCAGAGAACACACACCCAGGACCTTACCTGGTTCACATGCTCACAGCCAGGCCAGTGAAGGACAGAGCATCTGATTACAGTAGCTTAGGTTGGGGGTGGAGGGGACTTGCCGAAAATAAAATGATGTGGTGGTAAGCAGGGGAAATGGGTGCAGCGAAATAAAAACAAAACAAATTTTCTCCAGAGTGTCTGCTCTATACCTGGCACTTGTAGGGGCTTTGGAATCGTATTCTCTTTACCTTGCATGCAATGCCTTGCATGCAACAGGCACTCTGTGGCTATTTGTTGAATAAATGAATAATTGAGTGGACTAATTCAACCTTTGCACAGCTCTTGGAGTTGGGTTATATGAATTCTGTTTTACCGAGGAAAAAATTGAGGCTCCAAGAATGTAAATAGTTTGCTCAAAAATCACACAGCCAGTAAACTGTAGAGTTAAGATTAAGACCTGGTTCTATCTGACTCCAAAGCTTGTCTCTGCCTCCATTGAGGTGTCTGGGAGAGCCTGTTCTAAACCTGAGAACCTTCTGCTGCGCTGCTCCAAGTCACAGGGGCTCGATGCATTGTTGTTTATTGACAGATTCTAAAGAGTTTATCTAAGCTGGGAAAAGGTCATTTTGTGATTTTCCACTAATTTCAGAAAGGAAGTGATGGCAGCTGTGTGACCTTGGACAACATATCTCAATCTCTTCAACATTAAAGGGTATGATAATGATATCTCCTATGAGGCTACTGTGTGATAGGTGAGGGGATGTTTGTAAAGCCTCTAGCACAGCTCCTAGGACTGAAAGCCCTCAGACAGGACACTTTGTCTAGAGTCTTAAAAGAGTACAGAGAAACAGGAAGTGAGCGCTGGGGGAGGGATCAGGTTTCGCTATCATATTCCATTACGGGTAAGACTAGGAGCTGAACTATTAATTTATGTGTGTCTTAGAAAAAGCATCGCCAATTAAGCTATGATAAGACACATTCTAATTAGTTCGTTTATTTTATTTTGTTAATACTGAAAAATCTTTTCGACATAAGTAGATATGATTTAGATATATTTTTAATGAAAATCTCTTCTAAATAAGTCTAGATATAGACTTATATATTTAAATCACATATTGCCCTTGGGTGTATGTAAAAAGGAAATACAAGCAGAATACATGGGTGAAAGTATTACCAAGACTTCTTCACACTTGGAGTGGTTCACCTCTTCCCCAGCACTTTTGGACTGAGCTGTTGATGCGTTTTGCACACAATATTGTCAACTGAGCCCTTGAAAGAGTCTCAGAATACAGCATTTCTTAAAAGAATGCTGTTGTCTTGGGAAGATTCTCTCAGCCTGCTGGTATCAATTTGCAAATTCTGATGTTGGTGCCATTTTTTTATTCTGCTAGAAGGCATGAGTAGAAGTTTTCCAGAAAACAACTGCAATTCACATTTTTTCCTCTAAAGGTCCACAGATGGTTTGTTGACTAAAACATCAATGACTGTGGTCGCCAGTCATCTTACCCCAGAATAACCAAGGGCCTCCAGGCAAGCCTTGCAACTATGGCATTACTAGAGCCTGGCAATCTGATGTCGTGGGTTATAAGGCATGCCCTGATTTCTGGGATGTTAAATGTTAAGTTCCAGGAGTGTGCATCTTGGAACACGTGAAATATGGCAGTAGGGAAATTCTGGGAATCAGAGGTTCTCGGATCTTTGTTTTATTCCTTCTTTGCCACAGCTAGCTTGCTGCTGCAGAAAACTTTCAAGCATTGGCAGAGACCTTAGGAATAATCTTGTTGTATCCTCTTACTTCACAAGTAAGAAAACGGAAGTGCAGAGAAGGGTTGTGACTTAAATCATCCTTCACCCTGCACTCTAACCTGCACTGATTCCTATGGGGGAAGGGTAATCGCAGAAGAGTATCCATCATTGGCAGTCCTTTGGTGCCCTGTCCTAGAAGCAACTTGGTTCAGGGCACCTTGGTGGTTGAGTGGATTAAGCATCTGCCTTTGGCTCAGGTCATGATCCTGGAGTTCTGGAATCAAGCTCTGAGTTGGGCTCCCTGCTCCATGGGAAGTCGGCTTCTCACTCTTCCTCTGCCCCATCCCCTGCTCTTCCTTTCTCTTTCTCTCCCGCAAATAAATAAAATCTTAGAAGAAGAAGAGGAAGAAGAAGAAGAAGAAGAAGAAGAAGAAGAAGAAGAAGAAGAAGAAGAAGAAGCTGCTCCTCGGTGTTCTCTAATGGCTCACTGTCTATCTGGGCATTTCCAGCCTTTTAGTTCTTCTTGGCCAGTAACTCCAAAACCAAATGTCCTCTCTTCTTGAATGCCTTTTCCAAGAGACACTTTTACCCCTTGCTCCCATCCCTAACTCCCCAGGCAGGTAATTGCCCTAGGGTTTTAGTTTTAGTTCCTATTTTTCTCATGGAAGTCATCATATTGTTAAATGTGAATTTATTTGCTTTAAAAAAACCTCTTTTTTAAAAAAAGATTTTATTTATTGAGACACACACACACACACACAGAGAGAGAGAGAGAGAGAGAGAGAGAGAGAGAGAGAGAGGCAGAGGGAGAAGCAGGCTCCACTCTGGGAGCCGGAAATCGGACTCCATACCGGGTCTCCAGGATCACGCCCCTGGCTGCAGGCGGCGCTAAACCGCTGCGCCACCGGGGCTGCCCTAAAAAAACCTCTTTTTTATGGAAAATTTCAAACATAGACAAAGTAAATAAAATAGTCTAGTGAACTTCTGGGTACCCATCGTCCAGCTTCCACAGTTACAAACATCCTGTTATCCCTGATCTTACCATACCTTGCCTCACTCTCTACTCTAACTAGTTTTTTTTAAATACTTTTTTTCATTTAATGTGAAGTTTACATGTAATGAAATGCACTGTTACAAATGGGTATGCTTGTGCAATCCACACATCTATCAAGGTTTTGAACATTTCTATTTCTCCAGAGAGTTTTCTCATGTCCTTTCATGGTTAGGCTTCCTCCTGACCCCTACCTCTCCACCCTCCAGACAAGCTCAAGCCAGTTATTTTCCTTCATAAATTATTTTGCATCCTTTTAGCTTAGAACTTCACAGAAATGCAATCATACAGTTGGTACTCTTTTATGGCCAGTTCCTTTCATTTGACATACTTTCTATGAGATTCATTCATGTCATTACATATATCAGTACTTCATTCTTTTTTTTATGACTAATATTCCCTTGTATGGGTACACCACAGTTTGTTTATCCATTCTTGTGTTAATAGGCATTTGGGTTGTTTCCAGTTTGGAGCTATTAACAATAAAGCTTCTATGAATTTTCACATACAAATCATTTTTGTATGTGAACACATATTTCTATTTATCTTGGATTAATACCTAGGAATGAATTGCTGGGTCACAGTGTAGATGTACAATTTTACAAAATGATTTTACATTCCACCAGGAATATAAGAGAGGTCAGCTGCTCTACATTATCTCCAACATTTATTGTCAATCTTTTTCATTTTAGCTGTGCTAAGTGTTAGGTAGTGGTATCTCACTGTGGTTTCAATTTGCATTTCTTTGGTAACTAATGATGTTGAGCAACTTTTCATGGATTTATTGGCCACTCATGTGCCTTCTTTTATGAGGTATCCAAGCTTTTTGCCTATTTTAAAAAATTGGAACTTTGTTTTTTTCGTTAAAAAATAAAAATGTTTTTTATACAGATATGTTTTATGAATATTTCTTTCCACTCTATGCTTTCCTACTCATATTCTTTTTTTTAAGATTTTTATTTTTTTATTCATGAGATACAGAAAGAGAGAGAGAGAGGCAGAGACACAGGCAGAGGGAGAAGCAGGCTCCATGAAGGGAGACTGATGTGGGACTCGATCCTGTGTCTCCAGGATCACGCCCTGGGCTGAAGGCGACGCTAAACCGCTGAGCCACCTGGGCTGCCCAACCTATTCATTTTCTTAGTGTCTATTTAATGAAGTCTATTTTATCAGACTTTTATTTTGTGGTTATTTCCACGTCCTGTACTATTTGCTTACATACTATGTCTATCACTAGGCTATGAATTCCTAGAGGAAAAGAATGTGAACATTTTTTATCTTGTGCCTTCGGCCTCCAGCACTGATCCTCATCCATGAGTATATCTGGGAGTCAGGAGGAGGAAATATATATTCCTTTTTCTGCCTGTTGTCTCTTTGAGGAATCATCCCCAACCCTCATTACTCAGTTTTTCTGGTTCAGGTGAAGATTGCCTCTTTTTAATCCATCCCTACGGATGAATACTTGGCCAAAACTGGGACAATTAAAGTTTTGCCCAACAGTCTTAAAAGAAATAGGAGCATGGAGAGACACTCATCACCTTCCATCAATATTCATAAGGACAATATAAGGCTAAAGCAATTGTTGGCCATCTTTGCTATTACATGAATTGATGCTACTTGAGTATGAAGTCAACACAGGAATTAAGACATAAAACATGGAGAATAAATATCCTTGAAGATATAATTTATATCCCTGGATCCAGCCTTTCCTGAAGTTTACCTACCTTTTGATCTGCTAAAATATATGAGATGGTAAGTTGCCTTTTGCTTTGTTTGTATACTTGTTATTTGTTTAGTCAAGTCTGAGTTGTATTTTTATTTCTTACAACCCAAAGATTCCTGTCTAGTATACTCCTTAATAATGTTACACCCTGGGCATCCCTGGTGGCTCAGCGGTTTAGTGCCACCTTTAACCCCGGAGTGTGATTCTGGAGACCTGGGATCCAGTCCCACATTGGGCTCCCTGCATGGAGCCTGCTTCTCCCTCTGCCTGTGTTTCTGCCTCTCTCTCTCTCTCTCTCTCTCTCTCTCTGCCTCTCATGAATAAATAAATGAAATCTTTAAAAAAGAATAATAATAATGTTATACCCGGCTCTCTGCTCCTCCCCGTTCGACAGACAGCCACATCTGGTACAGTGCCAGCCGCGTCCCCGAGACACAATGGTGAAGGTCGGAGTGAACGGATTTGGCCGTATTGGGCGCGTGGTCACCAGGGCTGCTTTTAACTCTGGCAAAGTGGATATTGTTGCCATCAATGACCCCTTCATTGATCTCAACTACATGGTGTACATGTTCCAGTATGATTCTACCCACGGCAAATTCCACGGCACAGTCAAGGCTGAGAACGGGAAACTTGTTATCAATGGGAAGTCCATGTCCATCTTCCAGGAGCGAGATCCTGCCAACATCAAACAGGGTGATGCTGGTGCTGAGTATGTTGTGGAGTCCACTGGGGTCTTCACCACCATGCAGAAGGCTGGGGCTCACTTGAAGGGCGGGGCCAAGAGGGTCATCATCTTTGCTCCTTTTGCTGATGCCCCCATGTTTGTGATGGGCATGAACCACGAGAAGTATGACAACTCCCTCAAGATTGTCAGCAATGCCTCCTGCACCACCAACTGCTTGGCTCCTCTAGTCAGTCATCCATGGTCACTTCGGCATCGTGGAGGGCCTCATGACCACCGTCCATGCCATCATTGCTACCCAGAAGACTGTGGACGGCCCCTCTGGGAAGCTGTGGCTTGACGGCCGAGGGGCTCCCCAGAACATCATCCCTGCTTCCACTGGCGCTGCCAAGGCTGTGAGCAAGGGCATCCCTGAGCTGAACGGGAAGCTCACTGGCATGGCCTTCCGTGTTCCCACCCTCAATGTGTCAGTTGTGGATCTGACCTGCCACCTGGAGAAAGCTGCCAAATATGACAACATCAAGAAAGTAGTGAAACAGGCATCAGAGGGCCCCTTCAAGGCATCCTGGGCTACACTGAGGACCAGGTTGTCTCCTGTGACTTCAGCAGTGACACCCACTCTTCCACCTTCGACGCCAGGGTAGGCATTGCCCTCATTGACCACTTCGTCAAGCTCATTTCCTGGTATGACAATGAATTCGGCTACAGCAACCGGGTGGTGGACCTCATGGTCCACATGGCCTCCAAGGAGTAAAAGCCTCCTGGACCACCAACCCCAGCAAGAACAAGAGGAAGAGAGAGGCCCTCAGCTGCTGGGGAGTCTTCCCCAACTTAATCCCCCAACACACTGAGAATCTCCTGACCTCCGATTTACATCCTAGACCCCGAGGAAGGGGAGGGGCTTGGGGAGCCCTACCTTGTCATGTACCATCAATACAGTATGCTGTACCCAGCCAAAAATAAAAAAAAAAAATTAAAAAAAATAATGTTATACCCTTACCGCTAAGTCCCCATAACATTTTCCACAGCTCCAGAAGTCCTTTGGGAAGTGAAGAAGTCAGGGTAGATACCAATACTTGTAGTTTCTAAAAGTATATAGACCATAAAGCAGGAGTCCTGATTCTATATGTTCTATAGCAGTATTGAAAGTCACAAATTTTTTATCATGATATAAACTGAAGACAAAATTCATTACCAACTCACATCATGAAAGGACCTACCATTATCATATCTGAGTGTACCTTTCTTCCCACCATCATTTAATTTCTACATATTGTCATTGTAGACAATGACAAAAAAAAAGAGCAAATTAATCACCTTTCTTTAGTAGTGGAACATTTGTCAAATGAATTTTGTAGTAGAACTTGTGTCAAATTGAAAAAGTAGAGTTGTTCTTATTAAAGTTGTATGTATGTGTTTATATCTGTGTATATGTGCCTGTACATAAGTATATTTGTGTGGGGATCCCTGGGTGGCACAGTGGTTTAGTGCCTGCCTTTGGCCCAGGGCGCGATCCTGGCGACCCGGGATCGAATCCCACTTCGGGCTCCCGATGCATGGAGCCTGTTTCTCCCTCTGCCTGTGTCTCTGTCTCTCTCTCTCTCTCTCTCTCTCTCTCTGACTATCATAAAAAAAGTATATTTGTGTGTGTGCATCTGTGTGTCTATATATATGTGTATTTGTTTATATGTCAGTGGTATAAAGTGAGTATGAAACTCTATGTGTACCTGTGTGTATATATCTGGGGGTACATATGTCTGTGTGATTTGTGTCTAGATCTCCATGTGACTAGATTTGTGTCTGTGGGTATATGTCTGTGCACCATATTATGGTTTAGTTTACATTTGTGTATGTCTGTTGACGGACGTGTGGTATATGATATGAGTTTTTGTGTGCATGTCCATATGTGTCTGTGTGCTCTGTGTGTAGTGTGGATAGATGTCTACCTGTGTTTGTACAGTTATGTGCGTGTGCTGGTGCATCTGTGTGTGAGTCTGTGGGTATGTGTCGTGTGGCTGTATGTGTACATGTGCTAGCATGCATGCCTGATGGAGGCAATGGGGGTGAACAAAGCTACCAAAACTCTGTTTTATACATGGTGCAAATTGGGAAAAGTTGACTTCTCTGGTGGGGCAGAGCAGCTTCACAGGCACAGAGTTTGACTAGCAGAATGGATACTGGATTTCAGCCCTGACGAGTCCACTCATCTGGTGTCTAGGGGAAAAGAACAATTTGGCACCGAAGGCCAGGAAGTTCATTTCATCTCTCCTCTGCCCTGTAGGAACCTTCCCATAGAATCTAGTCTGAAAACTACCCAAACCAATGTTCTCTAATGCTTTCCAAATGACGTGATTCTAGAGAAGTTCATGGCACGCTTCCTCCAACCAAAGTCCACATACTACACAGGTGCCAGGGTCCTCCTTCTTTTCCTCAGCCCCTGAGGCCTTGAGCATGCACTTGCAGTGCTGCCTCCCACCTCTCTTTTGGCCTTGTCATCATCTCATGGCCCTAGATTCTTCCACTTGCTGCCTTGCTGCAGAAAAACACTGGGGTTTAGGGATGCGCATTGTTGTTATAGTGTATCACACAGTTTGCACTTTTATTAAATTGACTCATGACCAAGAGGCTGTGGGGTTGTGATCAGGTGGTGTTAGTGGAGAAAGATACAGATGGCGTAGAACTGGTTTCAATGGTGAGTGAGGTCTTGGAACTGGGAAGTGGGTGAGCAGCTCAAACCCAGAGGGGAGAACTGGGGCTGTGGGTTGAAACCAGTGAAATTACTAGGGCTTGCTTCATCAGAAGCCTTTAGATCAGCATGAGCTTCTCCACCCACTTTATCTCCTCAAGAGAAACTCCCTCTTTGGCAGCTTGACGTGTGGTCTTGTGATAGATGACCTTGGGCATGTTGTTTCACCGTTGTGAGCCTTCCCCTCTCCAGCAGCAATCCCTGCCCCCATGCATGGGGCTTTGGGAGGAACTGAGACCACAGGAACACAGGTTTCAATCTTTCCTCCCCCCTAGTACTTTGTACCCCCTCCTTTTCTCACTGGCCTTAGGGTGCCCACAGCATTTCATCTGTGCTTTTACTATAGCAGCAGCTCTAGCCTAGCATTTAGCCAGCGCTCAGTATTCAGTAGATGTTTGCTGAGTGAAGAAGCCAGGCAGCCAGAGGGCAGGTAATAAGGAGTAAGTGAAGAATAAAGTAAGTTGGAGTGTTTTCCTGTCTTTGGAAATGAGCTCTTGGCATCCTTCAGAGATGAAGGCTGAACAGACTAATGATTTTGTATATAAAATGTGGCTCTAGGTGGTGGTCAGAGTGGAGGTAGGCCCTTCTAGAAAGCGGTTTCCCCTTACTGACCACCTGTTTAGGCTCCAAAGAACTATTACAGTTATTTTCCTCCTGAGATGACAGGTGTAGATTGTGTATGCTGTGGCACCTGTTCCTGCCAGAGGAGCAAGTTTAAGGGAGGTTTAAAGGAGTCTAAGTCAAAAATGAAAGAAAGGAAGAAAGGCCAGAAAAACAAGTTTCATTAGTAGTGAAGGACCCAGTTGGTAAGTAAGGGCTGTCACTGCCATAATTATATACCAGTTACATACCTGCTCTTACAGGGCACTGTGCTAATTACTGAGACTATAAAGTAGAAGGGGTGGTTCTTGCCCATCAGAGGCTTCCAATCTAGGGAATGGAAATGGATAGAAGACCAAGCACTGTGGAGCAGTTGCTACCTGTTTGGAACTGGGACAAATGTTTTAGGATATATCTCATGAAATTAATATTGTTCTTCTCCAAGGAAACTAAAATACAGAGAGGCTAAGAAACTTCTTCTAGGTCACCCAGCAAACACACAGAACTGGGAAAAGAGTCCTGGTCTGTCTGGCTCTAGCAGCCTATTTACACTTTTTACAGGCAAGCCTGTAAAAAAGAGAATTCACTCTACAAGGGTGCTAGGTTCAGTGCCACATGAGCAGTAGATAATTATTGTTGTAGGAGTCTAGAGGAGATATATTGAGGCCTCAAGCAGAAGTGGCAACTTGGCAGAGGAATAGGACCTCATCTAGATGCTGAAGACAGAATATGAACCCAATAAAAGAAGAAGGGAGGGGGCAACCTTCAAGGCAGAAGGAGGCATAGCATGTGCAAAGGTGGGAGGTAGGGAAAATTTCACCTCCTGGGGTTGTGGAGTACTGGAGAGAGCACAGCCTGTTTCAAACTTACTAACAGCCTTAGGCCAGCCACCTGATCTCCCTGGGCCTCAGTTTTCCTATCTGTACAATGGTTGTGAGAATAGCTTACTTCACAGGATTGTTGAAGACCTGAGATCATGTACGTAAATCACCTGTTTCCTTAAGATCATCAATCTAAGTTACACCTTAATCTAAATCTGTTCCTTCCCTGAGAGTATCCTACTTCTTCTACTTGCAATTGAAACAATTATATATCTGTGTGTTTATTTATTGAATGTCTGTTTCATGACTGTAAGTTCGGTGAGGACAGGGACAACATGTGTTCTTCTCAACACCATCTCTTTAGTGCCTAGAACAGTAGGCACTCAATGTATCTTTATTAAATGAATGAATACATGAATGTTTGAATGAATACATGAATTCATAAGTAAAAGAAGAACTATTTCTGTGCTGTGACTCTAAGAATCTCAGGGAAAATTTGTCTTTTCTCTAGTGAGGGGGCGGGCTGCTAATGCAGGAAAAGCTTCCAGAGAATGCCATTAGAGAGTCACAAGGCCTTCACGGGTCATCAGAGAGAACACCAGGTCTCCTGCATGCCTCCTGGTCCTCTACATATCTCTCTTGGAGCAGGAAGGAAATTACACAAACTTCCAGTTCAGCTGGTTCCAGGGTTTCACAACCCATTTGTTTCTGTCTTGCTTAAATCCGTGGTGCTGCTTTTCCATTGTGACTTGTGATGTACCTAGTGCACAGTGACTCTGCATGATCCCTATGTTGCCCGGCAATAACTCTGAGGGGGTGTCTAGACTTTCCAATAATCGAGTCTTCTGATCCAGTGCAATGCAATAACCCTTTATGTAGAGTTAGAGAGGAAGAAGGGATATAAACAGATGCACTGATAACTACTAGGCATTTGATATATTCTATGAATTCCATGGTAGAAGAATAAGGACAGGGATATGAAGGATACAGAGAAGGGTATATGGCTTTGCCTGAGGTGATGCAATGTATGCACAGTTGGATAATATTTACAGCTTTCAAAATATGACTATGGGTATCATCTCATCTTAATCTCTGCATCCATGGAAAACTGGATGTACGGATAACATTTGCATTGTTATTTGTTCCTAATACATGGGGAAACTGAGGCAACTAGGGGTGGTCCAAGATATAGATCTGGTTTCACCTGCAGATATAAACTCACTACCCAGTCTCATTACTCTGTTTAGGGATCTGTTTTTGCGCCACACTGTCATGCACTCATGACCTTTACATTGGTCAACAGTGTGCATGTGCCTGCAACGTCACAATCTCCCATCTTCTGGAATGTAGTTTCAATGCTTTTTGTGGTGGAACATCAATATTAAAAAAAATCAAGGGCCACATTACCCCTTTGCTTGCTTAGTAAATTTTTTGGAAATGTGGTCACTTTCACATGTTTACTATTGTCTATGGCTATTTTTGCACCATGAAGTAGAGTTGAGTAGTTAAAGCAGAAATTATAGGACTCACAAAGTCTAAAATATTTAATATTTGGTCCTATACGGAAAAAGCTTGCCA